CCCCACTGTGGTCCCCCCAAAAGGTCCAAGCCCCCCCCCAGCACCCAGGTTTTGGGGTGGGGGTGGGGGGCTAGACGGGCAGGATCTGCTCCAGGAGGGTCTTGGAGGAGGGGGGGATCCTGTCGGGGAACTTGACCTCGAACTCGATGATGAGGTCACCGCGCTGGTCGGGGGTGCGGGGGTACGGCAACCCCTCGCCCGGGATGCGGCGCTTCACCCCCGGCTTCAGGACATCCTTGAAGACCATGGGGATGGTGCGGCCGTCCAGCGTCGGGGCGTTGACGGTGCAGCCGCAGAGCGCCTGGCGGGGGAGGAGGGCGCGTCGCCATCACGTCCCCGCCGCCCAACCACCCGCCACGTCCCCACCGCCCATCGCATCCTCACCACCCAACCACCCACCCATCACGACCAACCACCCAGACGACCACCCTTGGTCCTCATCACCAAGATCTACCACCCATCGCATCCTCAGCACCCAACCAACCACCTATCACAACCCCACCACCTACCCAACCATCCAACCAACCACCCGTTGCATCTCCACCACCAAGACCAACCACCCTTGGTGCTCACCACCAAGATCTACCACCTATCACATCCCTACCACCCAACCAACCACCCATCACATCTCCACCACCATGACCAACCACCCAGACAACCACCAGTCCTCACCACCAAGATCTACCACCTATCACATCCCTACCACCCAACCAACCATCCATCACATCTCCACCACCATGACCAACCACCCAGACAACCACCAGTCCTCACCACCAAGATTTACCACCCATCACGTCCCCACCACCCAACCATCTGACCACCCTTGATCCTCACCACCAAGATCTACCACCCATCGCATCCTCACAACCCAACCAACCACCCATCACGTCCCCACCAACACAACCAACCACCCAGATGACCACCCTTGGTCCCCACCACCACAACCCACCACCCGTCACATCCCCACCACCACAACCCAGCACCCAACCTGTCACATCTCCACCACCAAGACCAACCACCCGTCACATCCCTGCCACCCATCATGCCCAACCCACCAAGACCAACAGCCCCAACAACCACCCTCAGTCCCCACGACCCCAACAACCACCCATCATCGTGTCTCCACCACATCCCCACCAACAAGGCCAACTGCCCAGACAACCACCCATCACAACCCCACCAAGACCAACCACCCTTGGTACCCAACACCAAGACCCACCATGCGTCATGTCCCCACCACTCCTGCTTCTCTGCCAAGGCCAACCACCCAGACAACCACCTGTCATGTCCCCACCACCAAGACCAACCCACCCGGACATCCCCACGACCACCACCCCACCCTTGATGTCCTCACTACCAAGACCAACCCACTCATGACATGCCAACTGCCAAGACCAATCCACCCATGATGTCCCCACCACCACCACCAAGACCAACCCACCCATGACACCACCACGACCAACCCACTCACGATGTCCCCACCAC